TTTTTCTCCCCTTTTTTTTTTTTTTTTTTTCTTTTTTTTTTTTTTGTGGTACCAGGGATCAAACGTAGGACCTTGCACTTGTAAGGCAGATGAGGTGCCACTGAGCTAAATCCCTGGCCCTGACTATTTCCTTTTTCACTCTAAGATGTCTTCTATTTCTCCATGAGTTTTAGATTTCCTGTCAACTCTGTCTCTATCCCTGGAGCTCTTCTCTTTCTCCTTGTGGAGCAGCTATTTATCCCATATCAGAGGCCCCTGCCGTGGTTTCAGATCTCCTGCTCAGTGCTATGATGAAGGGTGAAAGGAAAAACCCAAAGACAGAATTAAAGAGACAGAGAACTGGGGAGCCAGGATGCCCAATGCATATGCAAGCAGGGCTGAACAAGCGGAGGCCTGAACACCCAGAACTATCGATATTTATTAGTGACATCACAGTTAGATTGAGGTAAAGGGGCTCTGTGGAGGAACTAATGGAGTCGCTATGGATATGCTGCTGATAAAGGCAAAGCTTGTAAAGGGAGACACAAAACATTCTTGAATTAGGAACAGAACAGACAAAATAAAGGTTGTGGTTAATAACTTTGTCTTATTAGTAGAGACGGTTTTAACTCTGGAAATGGAATTTGGGTGCAAGTCACTCTGATCTTGGCAGGTAGGCTTTGGCCAGACTCACTTGTATGAGCAAGCCAATTACAGGGTTAACTCTTTACAGCCTGCACTGCCTACAGCTTGCTTTGGGCATAGTCAGTGGGGTGATTCCCCACAATCCCAGGAGTCTTCCTGCCAGGTTCCAGAGAAACTGTGACCTGCTGCTTGTTTTGTTAGATCCTTCTTGAGTGTTCTTGTTTATTTAAAAAATGTTTCTATTAGTTTGTGTTTGCAGTACATTCCCTGTGTAGAGTCGGCACATGTACACAGCACATCTTAATTCCTTTCATCTCCCCTCATCTCTTGATCCTTTTCCCATTTGAAAAAGACCTCTCCCTACTTCTTATTATCTATCTTTTATTTTGCTCTTTATTTATACTTTGGCCTCTTACATAAGAGAAACCATGTGGCATTTAAGCCGTATGTCTGACTTGTTTTACTCAGCACTGTGATCGCAAGGTGCATCTGTTTTCCTACAAAAGATTCGTTTATCCTTCTTTATGGCATAGTAGTATTCTGTACTGTGTAAACACCACGTTTTCTTTATCACTCATCTGCTGATGGACATATAGGCTGCTTCCAAGATTTAGCTATTGTGAGTTATGCTGCTATAAACACAAGTGTGCATGGATCACTGTAATGTGATGTCTTTAACTGTGTCGGGAAGAATTTAGAAGGGGAATAGCTAGGTCAAGTGGAATTTCTAGTTTTAGTTTTTTTTATTTTAAAAAATACTAGGAAGAAAGTGCTCCCATTTTCAGGTGAAGTTTCAAAAGCGGGACATAGGCACCATTGTCAATGGGGGTTCATGGCCCCTGATGAGCTCTGTCTCCTCCTTCAGGATGCAGCCTGCTGGAAATCAGATCATGACTTCCTGTTTCCCCCGGAAGCTGTTGGGAGGAATATTCATCCTGTGCATGCTGATAATGGGTGTTTCTGCATTCACCACTCCATCTGAGGAGCACACAGGTAAGAAACAAAGGATAGGGCCACAGCTTCTCTGGGGAAAACGCTTACCTAGTGAGGTTTCCTTATCAAGAATGAGGCACAGGGCTGGGGATTTAGCTCAGTGGTTCCACTGCCTGCCTCACAAGAGCAAGGTCCTGAGTTAGATGCTGGTCCTTGCCCATCTTTGCTACATCCTGGGTGTGGGATGCAAGGAGAAAATCAAACAAGTGGTGAATTTGCACTTCACAAGGGGTTCCTTGGAGCTTAAACATACAATCTATCAGAACTATGTTTTTTTGGTCTGAATTCAGCAGGGATCTACTTTTATGGTCAATAAGTTTTTTTTAAAAACATGGCCAAAAATTTAAATCACTTCTTTTTGGTTACCTATGAAGCTACTTGAACCCTTTGGACAGAGTATAAATTGAAATTGACTGTTGCCCTGAACTTGCCATTTGGGAATTTTGCACTCATAATAACAGCAGGCGCTTGACCTTCTGAGAGCAGAACTCATAATAATAACGGGACAGCAGGGCTCTGGTGGGAGGGACTCACGTCCCCCAGGAGCAGGTCACTCTGTCTGGGGTACTGGCATCTTCCCCCACTGCTCCACATCACTCTTCCAGAACGAGGCTCCAGCTGAGGTCCGGGGAGGTTTGGGGATCCGGGCAGGTTGGGAACCTAAAGACTGACTGTCCTCTCTGTCTTGCAGTGACCGCAGGCAACTGCTCCTTTCGTGGCAAGCATTACAAAGTGGAGCTCAGGGTGGCTGGTGAGCCTGTGGTTCTGAGGTGCCCCCTGTTGTGGCCTCGGTTGGGGGCCACCGCCAGCCCCCAGGACCTCATGACCTGGCATAGAAATGGCTCTGCTCAGCTGCTCCCAGGGGCAGAGCCTAGGATGCAGGTCAAGGACAGCACCCTCTGGATCCTGCCAGCCATGTGGGGGGACGCAGGCACCTATATCTGTACTGTCAGGTGGGTCCCTTGGGACAGGGTGGGGACAGGGGCTCCAGCACAACGGACACTTGTACTTTTCAGCGGTGGTTAGGATTTCAGAATCCAGTGCGCAGGTGCAAATCCTCATGATGGCCCTGGCTTCCCTGGAACTCCTTTTGCCTGGAGGGTCTCTTAACTCCCTCCTTCTCTTTGTTTAATCCTTACTCAGTGTCGCCCCTTGTGGCATGAGGTCCCCACTGTCTTCTCCTTCCCCTGCTGTTACTTTCTAATAGTGTTTTCCCTGAGGGACACGTCTATGTGTGTTCGTGTGTTCAAATTGTGTCTACCCAGAGGACAGGGTCCCAGTATGCTTTCTTCACTGATGAACCCATATGGTAAGAACACAAAAAACAGGCTCAGAATTCCAAGAAGAATTTTAGAGCTGGGTGGGGTCTTAGGAATAAATTAATCCTGCTGCTCGCTGCTTATTGTACAAATGGGGGAACCAGACTTGTTTAGAAAGTCCCCTGGTTGTGGGTGGAGGAGCTGACACTGAATTCCTTCCTTTTGTTCTGTTGCTTTAAAAAGATGGTGGTAAAATTTGCACACATCATACAATTTAGCAGTTTAAACCCTTTTCAAGTTCAGGGGCATTGAGTTCATTCACTCTGCTGCTTGGCCATCCCACCCTGCACCTCTCTAGGGCCTTTCCATCTTGCCAGCCTGAGACTCTGTCCCCAAGAAACCACAGCTCTGTCGTCTCCCCATCCCCAGCCCTGGTGACACCAGTCTGCTTTCCGTCTCCATGAATGCGACGTGGCTTTTCCCAGAGCCTTATTGGGCTTCCAAACTCGGGTTGACCTCTTAGTAGCCACACAGATTTGGGAAATTATTTAAATTTGCATCTGAGTTCCTTCACCTGAAAATGATATGATAATAATAATGCTTACCACGCAGGGCTGGAGAATGAATGAAATAATATATGTGAAGCCCCCAGCCCAGGCTCTGGCAGGCCCCAAACTTACTGTACCTTGCTGCCCCGAGGACTGTCTTTTAAATGTGTGCTGTCCTTAATAAAATCTGTCCCACTTGCATTTCTTCAGCTTATAGTGAAATTACGCACTTTTAAGGTGAGAGTTAACTTTCTCTGTTTCTTTGTGCATAAAATATTGCTCATAATTTTTTTGAGATTACATATGAAATATAACACAGATACTGACCTTCCATATTTGAATTAATTCTTTTTTCTTTCAGGTAGTAACCTTTGATCACGGCTCTTTCACATATATTTTTCACATTTGGTCACTTTGCATGTATATTGTTACACATCTTATACATTTTGCTGAGCACGTAGTTTTTAATCCCATGAAAACACTCATCCTTTTTGTTTCTTTCTGTGCTTTGGCCACAGCCAAGATAGTTATACTGTTATATTTTTCTGCCTTATTTTGTTTTATCTTTTGGGGGCTGACCATGGAACCCAGGGCTTTGTGCATGCTAAGTGTGCACTCTGTCACTGAGCTACATCCCAGCCCCTTGTTTCTCTACTTTAAAATTTAGTTTTAAGCCTGCCTTCCATCCTTTGGCCCATTTCTGCCATGTTTTCAGCAAGGTAGTGCCTCTGACATTCCCCCAGCTTTGGGGTCTTTAGAGAATCGTGGTACTGAAATGAGAAGTAGGCCAACAAAGAAAATTGGAAACCAAGCAAACCTATCAAGTTACTTTCCCCACGTAGTCTTGCAGAAACCTTTGAGATGCCATTTGCTCATTTCCCAGCGGTTTTCTGAAATTGGACTTCAGTCGGTAAATGATTCCCAAGGGAAGCAAAGGGAATTCTCCTTTAATGGAAGCAATCTCTCCATTTGGATGCGGCTCCAGGACCATGAAGTTGGAGTGTGTTGGGGCTGGGATGGAGGAGCAAAGACTCTGGACGGTTTAAGCCCTTTGGAAGAGGAAGCGGGGGTTTCTTTGTGACCCTTGCTGCCCTGGGTGGGCGAGGGTCCATAGAGGGGCTTTAGTGCAAAGCCTAGGACACATCCCTGCTTCTAAACAACAATTATGACATGACGCTTTAGGGTTTAAGAGGGAAAGGAATGCAACACGAACCCAAGAAACACAGACACAGTACTTACAAGGGAGCAAGAAAATTAGTCTTGACTTTATTTAGTTTTGCTTCTGTTTTGCCTTGCCATTTCAGAGACGCCTCTCACTGTGAAGAAATGGCCATTGAGCTCAAGATTTTTGAGGATGCAGAGACGTCTCTGCCTCTCATCTCTTATCCACAAATCGTAACCTTGGGAACAGACAGCATGCTAATGTGCCCAGACACGCTGGATTTTGCCCGGGACAAAGCTGGCAGGAGTGTTCGGTGGTACAAGGTGCATTTTATAAAAATCCCATTCATTTAAATGGGTTCTGCCTGCCACAGAAACATGTATAAAATACCCATTTCTGAAGGCAATGCATTTAACGTACTCATATATATTAAACAATTTTAAAAGGCCATAACTAATATGTTCTATTTGTCCTTAGTGGATTGGGTAAGGTTCCTCAAAACAGTGTTTTGTGAAGACAGAGTATAAAGTAAGTCCAGAGTAAATTACAGCTGTAGAAAATAGCTGTTTACTCTTCAATTTATTTATAAGAATTTAGAATGATTAGTTTATACAATGAATTTATATACTTATTAAACAGACTTTTTTAATACAGGCACATGACAAGCACATGACTCCTTGCATTAAAGGAGTAAATATAAACACAATTTCCCCCTTGTCTGCTTGAGTAAATATTGAGTTAAGAGCATTTGAATGGTTCTTAATCACTATCATCAGATTAGTGTATAAGCAATTCTTCTACATTTTTTCTTGTATTTCATGACATCTGACCATTACCTAACAGCCACATCTCAGTGTTGATAATGTTTTCCTGGGATTCAGCCATCCACATCTGCTTATATACTGTCTGTGGCTGCTTTCACACTGTGTAGTTCCACAGGGACATCTGGACTCTGAGTGAGGTCCCTGAGCTACTTGTTATCTGGCCCTTGCTTGAAAATGTTTGCAACCACTGATGTTGACTGTCCACAGAGTGATACTGAAAAGTGTGGTTATTTCTGTGATCATTGACAGGAATTAACCCTTAATGGGCTGGCTATTCAGTTGACTGGTATTTTAAGTACATGCTGTATATCGGATATCAATTTTTATTCTTTCTATATTTCTTTCCTCCCTCCCTCCCTCCCTTCCTTCCTTCTGTCTTTGAAACAGGGTCTCACTATATATTTCAGGCTGGCCTTGAACTTGAGGCAATCCTGCCTCAGCCTCCCAAGTGCTGGGGTCACAGGCCTACACCATCACATCTAGCCAGGATATCAACTTAATGTTGGAACTTCGAAGTTATTTTCCAAAAGCGGAAAAGGTAACTGGCTCCCATGATGAGCCTGGACAGCAGTAGAGGTCCTTTTCTTGGGACTTTGTGGAGTACACAGAGAACCTGTGAAAGAGCACAGATCTGAGTCAGAGACCTTGTTCCTTCATTTAGCCAGAGCTGAGTTACTTCTCTTGAACCCGTTTCTGCTATAAAAAGGCAGCTAGGAGCCCCCACTGCCTGGAGCTGTTTTGAACATCAAATGGAGAGATGTGGGCAAAGCAGCGGGCACAGGGCTTGCCATACACATGGTGCATGATTTACAGGGGTGTAGAAGATCATGGTGGGGCTTAGCACTACTGGCTCTCTACATAGTAGCTAAGCTAGAGTAGAGACTGAGTAGAATAGCTAAGCTTCAGTAGAGGCTGAACAGAAGCTGAGGCCAAGTCTGTTCTAACCTCCCCAACAAGCAACCCACTGCCCCGTCCCCGTTTCACAGATAGCCGGAAAGGTTAGGAGCCTGCTCAGGGCCACACAGCTCTTGGTAGTTAGCAAGAACCCTGGCCCTTGCCTCACACCCATGCCAACACCATGACACTGGGCCCTGTGTCCATGAGGGGCGATTCCTGCTGTGAACAGTGCCATCTCAGTACTGGACCCTCAGTATGAGCCCTGTGCTGGACATTTGGGTTTTTTCCGTGTAAGACTCTGAAATGGTGCAGGGCTATATTTGACTGTTGTAAACTTTTGATGGTCATGGTTTTAGAAGATATTCCTGGGGCCTTTTCTGTCCCATTCCATGTCCCCTGTCTTCCTGGGGCCCTTGCCTTTGAAGGTTCTGTTCTGTAGAGGACCCAAAGGACTTCATGCCTGTGTGAAGGATGTGGACCCACGTCTGCCATTCAGATTGTTTCTTACAAATCTTTCTCCATTATAATAACTCCTAAAATTGAAATGATCCTAAAGTAATTACTACAGTACCGTCTCTTCCGAATACTGGTGTCCAGGTCAAGATGACTATTTATTAGCGATCTGGAATATTTCTCAAGCCAGCGGAAGCAGTTAGCCAACAAATATATCTGTATTTTAAATAGCCTACTTTGTCAAAGAACAGTTAATTTTTCATATTGTTACACAAATTTCCTTTAAGTATTGTGGCTGAACAAATCTAGACATCTTACTGGTTTTATGTGTTAGTAAGTTTTTTTTTCTTCCTAAAATGCAGTTAAGAGCATGCTCAAAATACAAAATGGAAAAGGAAACACCAGGGCAATTCTTGGATTGCAAATTCAGCACTGGCTGATAATGAAGGTGCAATTTATGGCTTCGAGGTACACATTAGTAATAATACAACTTTTTTTTTTTTTTTTTTTTTTTTTTTTTTTTT